CTTCATGCAGGCCCAAAAAGGGGGAGAAGGCAGATCGGCAAAAGGGGCAATTACACCAAGCCCCGGCACTTTCATGGGGTTAAAAATGTAAAAAAATGCCTTCGTCAGTTGGAACTAAAATCGAATTAAAACAAAAACCATAATTTGTGTTTAGCAAAAAAATCAATCCTACAAATTGTATTCTAGCCTCGTTTTCCAATCGAATAAGAGAGATCCTCAGTAATACTCTGACAATGTCTAATAAAAAAGGTTTTTAGTACTTTAGCTGCCCATTGTGGCCCTCGGAAGGCCTCTCTTCATGACAAGCATTACTTATGGAGCCTTGCTGCTAAATCTAGAATGACTCCAGGTTGGCTTGCTAATGAGAAAAAACCACGCCTGACGACTGGACCAGGGAACATGCTTGTTGCAAAGCAAGTTAGAAATGTCTGTTGCATACTATTTTGCAGGAAATAATTCAGTTGTACCTTCAGAGCCGGAAGCTCAGCTGATTATGCGAAGACAGGTTTACTGCGATTAAATCAGCCTGGCTAAATCTCAAACCAAGGTTACAATTTGTCCATAACTTGACGGCAAATATGCAACAAAGACAATCATTAGCACCCATTAAGCTTCTGCCCTTTGCCAGAGACAAAAAGAGCTGACAGGGTACATGAAAACTCCAGATGCCAGCCGGTCTGTGTAAGAGATGCAACATCTGCGAGAGTAAACGATAACTAGTTGTTTCAAAGTTTGTGACCTAAAGGCGAAAATTTTGACCTAAAGGCGAAACTGGTGACCTATAGGGGAAAGTTGTAGACTAGACTATTCAGTTACGCATAGACAATGAAGGAATTTGTCAGATAGAACAGCTTGGAGAAAGCAAAAAACTGAGAGTAACAAACTGGTGAATGTGTAAATAAAAGTGAGGGCTAGATGGTGTGGAGACCCTGTTTACACAGAACTATAGGCATACGTTCGGTTCTTCTTCGTTGAAAAACGTTACTATCTGCTTTTGATCCAAAATCGTACTGGTTTCTGAGCGGTTGGGAACAGAAGTATTTGTTTACGATTGAAAACATAGCTGATTTTTGCATCAGAAAGAGGCATTTAGAAAATGTTGGGTTACGGTGGTCGTAGATGATTCATTTAGCTACTGGAGGTGGGGGGAGGGGGGGGGGGTCTTCATGGACCTCTGACATAATTACTCATGGTGGTCATGAAATGGTGCAACAAATGCTTATGATTCACATGTTGCAAATCGCAAGGTGTGAAAATTTGTCTCTCTCTTTTAAAAAGAAAATGCTCCGTTCTAAGCGGTAATATCCCTTTTAAATGGATGTTATCGACATAAAGTATTCAAGCATATTGTAACAGTACTATGCTAGGTTTTACGCAATATCTCAACGACATGTAAAAACTAGCAAGGATCATTGTAACAGTGCACAATCATTTTTTACGTAGAGAATCACATAAAAACGTCACAAAATTCGACACGTATCCGGTTTACTCTGTTACGGTGGATCGATTCTTTGAAACGAAACTAATTGAAACCAAGACAGGGTTTACACAGAGGCATCCAATACACTGGTAAAGAAGTGGAGATAGCAAAGGAATCAAGCCAGAATTAGCCTGTTCAATGAAACTCCCAAAACTTTAAAGACAAATTTCGACTGCCTATTAGCGTCATTGGCTCTTGTGTGATTCCTCCAGTCAAGTCAGCTAGATAGCCGAAATCGAGCAACTAATTGGCACTTTTACCGTCATTTTTAATCTTAGGAATAAATATTTCTCTTAAATGGAACCGTTATTCTGTTCTCTGATCTTAAAAACTATGGCGGACACCCAAGTTACAGGCCAGGGACTACAAAAAAGAATAATGTTTTCATGAATTTAAGTTGTGCAGGACAGTTCATAAACTTCTATCCAACAAAAGCCTTGTTTTGATATTTCTTAAATAAAACAACACGTAACTTATTGACTGATCTGAATAAGAAAGGGATTGACTAAACACCCAGTCAGAATTGATCCGTAATGCTATGAAAAACACGAAAAACACCCAGTTAGCATCTTACTTCAAACCAGTATAATACATATACGATCTTTGGAGTTGGGAAAATCCTAGAAGAATTTGAAGACTTGCTTGAGCAGAATCGTAGGTTTGTATATCTAAAGTCTGAATGACCTTGTGCTCGGTAACGTCATCAACACAAATGCTTTAACAAGAGAACAGTTACCTGTATTTTCTAATAGAGTCTTCGGGGTCTTTGGTCGGTTGATTATTTCGATAAGACGAGGGAGAACAATCTCAACGTACTCTTTCATTTCTGACCCTGCAACAGCAAGTTAAGGTATTTAGATTGCATTTCTCTTGTAATTCGCTGAACAGTTAAGGTACGAGGTACGCTAAGCTTTAGGTATGATAACAGATTTCAAACACTGACTTGCCATCTTTCTGTCACTGTTTGTAACAACTTCAAACGCAGTGCATTGAGAGGCTAATTGCTCCATATTACATAAGATAACATTTGATAAGTGAGGAGCATCTGTAAAATAGATGTACCGGATATGATCGGCTGAATTCCATTTTCAAAATGGACAAACGTCAATTATAATTTCGATAAGTTATGGCCTTGACGGTGTACAAGTAGCCTTGAATTAGCCCCCCTTCCTGCGAATAAGCGCCACTGACTGGATTAGGCAAGGCCTAAAGAGAAGGCTCTGCAAAGCTCAACACTAATACAAATCTTTTGTATGACGTGGGGCATACTAGTAGTCTGGCGCTCATTGGAGGGTCTACGGTAAATTAATTAAGTCAAATGGACTGCGTCAAATGCAATGGGATACGTCAACATCGCATAACAGCTGTTACAATTGCTATTTTTACCGTTGCGACCCCTGACCAATATACAACTAGGCTTTGGGCCAGCCCAATGAAACAGATGCAACGAATTCTGCAAACACTGTCCTTTTGCACGCAGCACTTTCCTCACAATGCATTTTCATACAATTAGTAAGTCAGATTCGGATATGGTCACCCTCTTAGAAAGGCCCAAACAAATGAGTTGTTGTCTTTGGAATGCCCTAAAAAATTTACGCAGATAGCCTATTTACACGAGGCCGGATGACATAGATAGTCTTGCTGAAGGACAAAAATCTATCCGGCAAGCCCAATAATATCTGTCATTGACAACCCAGTGCACATGCTAGCCCAGACGAAACTGGTGATTCAGCATTTATTGAACGTGATCTTAATGGTAACACTCTTGACAATGGCCAACTGCTTGAACATGTTGTTGATAAACATTCTTTCAAAGGAAAATTTAGAGGTCGAAGATCTGACTTGAAAAAAATGAAGACTTTCCAGTGAAATGGCTATGAACGTACCTAATTGAATAGAGATTTCTCCAATGGCCCAGGCCGCATTGTTGCACACGGAAATAAATTCTGGGTTCAGACTCTGCCCTAGAATTGGCATCATTTCACGGATAGCGGGCTTGACGTGCTGGAAACACGCTTTGGCCAAATCGCCAAGCAGAGCAAAGGAGCTTTGTCGAACTTCCAATCCGGGATCCTATATAAGAAAGAAAGAAAGAAAGAAAGAAAAGAAAAATGAATAAGTGAATGAAGGAACGAAGGAATAATTGACTACGTATAAGCTTATTTTGCATCTTTTGATGATTTCAAAAATGCGTCTAGGCAACAATTAGCAATATTCTCCTGACAAACTAGATTCAAATGTTATGCATGAAGGAATAGACAGAAATATAAAATGACATCATACATATAGCAAGGTGACATAAAGCCAAGGAAAAATTACCTGGACACAAAATACAGGCGATTTTCATAGGGAAACATACATAAACCAATATAAATAGATAATTTCAATCAATTCGTCTTACCTGCATGCATTGATACAGCAATGTTACGATTTTTGATTTGGCAACAAACTGGTCAATGCGACTTTCCAGTCCTTCCGCCAGACCACTAAGTAAGTCGAGGGCAACAACCATGAAATCTTTGTCAGGCATATCAACTTGGTCCGGATGCATCTGTGCTGCCTAAGAATAAAGTATTAAATATGCAAAGGTACTGCAAAGAATGCAATATGCAAGATTCGGTTAAGCGCTACATAATAAACAAGAAAGGAAGTTCTAATAAATGCATTATGTGGTTCAAGATTTGGTTCAGACTAAGATGCAGCAAAATACATTAAAATACAGCAAAATGATGCTTCTAATCGAAGTAAGGAGCTCTGATTCTTGGAATTAAGTACACATTGATTGGGAATCATGTTAAATATGAATTGTTCATTTGTTTACATCGTACTATTTTGCACCTTTGGCCCATACTATTAAAAATAGATACCAGCGTTACTTTTCAATGTCCTTGGGGACTGAGCGTGTCGTCTAGGAATCATGGTCGTACAACAAAGCAATCTTTGGGCGTATTTTAGCGTACTTCATTGGGTACGCGTGAAAGATCCGAACAAGTTCAGGAAGAAAAAGCCTAGCGGAAAAGCCTGTTTTTAGCCAGTTTAATAGATAAAGAATAGTAATTTCATATCGCAGTCCTTGATCTGTTACCAAATAAGACTTCGGTTCCGTTCGGGTTTGTTTGTGTCCCTCCGTAGCAGATCAGCTGTGAAGCTACGCACAAGTCGATACAGCTTTATGTATTAAATGCCAATAGAAAACGTTTTGGACTGATGTAGCCAAAAAGAACAAAAAGGACAAAAAGGTCACTATTGGCGCACTGTTGAAATGGAAAACGGACACAGTAACATATTCAGGGGCCATTCTCCATCCCACGCCTCCTTATTTGTCGGTCCTGATGCTTCAGGTATTCGAAGTTAGCACCATTTGGACGCCCTGTTGTCATCTCTGATTTACATTGAAATATGCCAAAGTACAACAGTGATGCGAAAATGCGCGAACAATTGTACACTCTACTCGAGGCACATTTAGGACTTATTATGCTGCAATAAAAAAATCACTTTCAATGTGGCAAAATTTATCACTTCTGTAGATGATCTTGTCAGTAAAATTCTGAACGCCATCAGAATCTTTAGTGAAAACACACCGTACTAATCTAGTCCAACAGCTTAGCTTTCAAGTTATATGGCATAACTAAAAGCTCAAAAGAAGGACAAAACGAATAACTTTTATGAGGAAGGTAACTTAATATCTCTTAGCTATTAATTTGATGGACCGAGTGTGGCAGTGTTGAAAAACAAATCAGCAACAGAGACATTCAAAAATGAAACATGTAGCCAGCGCAAAAATGAAACATGTAGCAACTTACATAGCTTTGGGTAAGTGTTTGTTCCACAAGGGAGACGCACCGTTGATAGACGGGTTCAGCGTAGGGCAAAAATCCGGATCGAAGGGCCGTGGCTACTGAGGACAGGCATTCAAGCAAAGGGAACAGGTCTTTGTCTTCGTCTTTCAATTCGTTCCATTTGCGTATTAAAGGTGGCATCAACAGGTTTATGTATTCCGGCTTGTTAAGGTGGGAGCCAACGGAGTCTGCCAGTGTGCCAATGGCATCGTACAAGATCAACAAATTCTTGTGCTGTTAGAAAAATAAGATAACATGTGATGCATTAAAAGGCGCAAAGCAAGGTAAGACCCAGTGGGTAAAAACAAATATGCTGCCACGATATTCCTGCTCTAATATTACCAATTAGCCTGAGACATCTTAAAAAGGGGTTCCGTAAACAATAAGCTGTGAAAAATGGTTGCCCAGCAAGCCTGGAAAAACGGCCTGATTTACAATGTGTCAATGCTTTTTAAAACATTGACTCATCATTACAATAATTTTAGTTTAAAGAAATATTTGGTAACATACAATGCGAGAGGGCTAACATTGGTCCTCTAGTTCTGCAAGATACCATTAACAATGTTGTCCGTCAGCGTAACTCGACCGCCACATTAATGACGTCAAGCTTAAAAGACGGACGTAATGTAACTGCAATGTAATGTCATTTGACAAAGCTCTTAAGACTGCTAGCAACACGAGCAGGTTATAGAAATATCACTCCAGCAGTGTCATTTCAAACAGCATCTGATTTGGCATATTAATAGGTACTTGATTGTTTATTCAAAGGTTATGTGAACAGGTTTCGTCAGGTGTTTTCCTTTAAAACTTTATTCTCACCTGGTATTTACTGAATGCAAACACAAGGGTTTCTAAGATAAACCCAAGGTAGGGAACGAGTTCCGTACACGCCTCTTCTTCCAATGTCGCAAATGCACTGAAGATAAAAAAACAAACATAAGGAGTTTAGTTATGCATTAAGAGAATTTACAATTTCTGGTTAACTTCTAGTTGAAGCAAATCTTTATTAGCGTTCAACGCAGTAATAAGCATAAACCAATTGTTTTCCTGTTTTGGTTCGTGAGTACTGGCTATGATGGAAATTATGACTACGAACAGTTATCAGCAACTCAAAGAATCAACACGCGAAGTCTTCATTTACACTGATAAAGCTCTTCCTAAACTGGCGAAATGTCAGATTACAGTATCTTTGAGCGTTCTCCGCTGAGCCTGACATTGTTTTCTCCTAATTTGATACGACCGCACCTTTTTAAATAATTTGCAGAAATACTTCAATTTTCTTTTTCGTGCAAGCTTTCTAAGAATCCCCCTCACTATTTAGCCTTCCTATTTGAAACCGAAATTTGAAAAAAATCCCGATCCCTTTTGATAGGCCCTAACGTTGAAATAAGCGCCCTCTAGCAAGAATTATGCACAATCTCTCACCTAATAGAGCTTTACGGGTTTTTTATATAATGATTTCAACGAATAAGGAAAACAGAATTCCGTCAGAATCTTCCAGTAAACACCCTTAGACGTGGCTTACCTGCAAGCTGCCTCTTGTACACGTTTATTTTTGTCTAGCACTCTCTTCAGAAGCTGAAAATAGGTAATGAGCTTTATCAACAAATTCCCTCAAATGATTCTTAGCTACAGAGGCTACAGAAACACCTTAACTAGCTTACTGGTGATCATTAACAAACGTGTATCTGCCCAAAGGAAAATCATGGAAAACTATCAAATTTCATCGAGAATCGCGATACATGCAACAATTAGTTGGAAAGGCAGCTCGAGCTCTGGTTTTCAAGATTGGACAAATATTTTCATTCTAAAATACTATTGGTTGACGGCCTTCTATCCTATTGCACCATGACTGCCACAGCTTCACGGTATCAGTTGTTATTCTTTTAGTCTATATAGATTTTTTACAAAAACAAAAATGAGATGTGATATGTAAAATCATTGATGGGATCCACTCCATCAAACTCATCGATTAACTCCGTCAACAGCAACAAAGGGCCTCTCTGTAATGTTATAAACATCAACACAACAGAGTGCTATCTTGGCGTCGCTATAGCTGCTTGATCGTTATCTATAATACTTGACTTACTTTTAAAAATAGGAACTACTTTATATGAGTTGATTATAAAAGATTTTCATCATTATATGGGAGGTTGCTCCTCAATTTAACGTTTTTTTATTCTGTAATCAATCAAAACCATAGTTTTCCTATCTAGTTTTTTATGACGTCCTAAAGGGGCTTTGAATGTGAACCAAAAGAGCGGACGACACACAGAAGTGCAAAGGCCCTTGATTAAGTCAATGTAAAATGGTATAATGAGCGCATACAAAAAGCACTCATCTCCTCCAGCACTCCACCGTATGTTTAACGCATCTCAAATAATTAAAGCGATTCAAAAAAATTTCTTCAGAAGGGTAGCTTTCACGAGGGTGATCTCAGGAAGGTGAAAGATGAATATGGATAATTAAAAATTTCATTAATGCGAACTATTTATACATAGCAAGTTCTTTTTGAACGAACCTCTGTCATTAACCTCTGCAGATATGTCTCTGGTGGTTGCTGTACCACCCAATTAGCGTATCTACTCAAAGTCCAACAAGTAATTGAGCGAACAAGTGCCTACAAAAGAAACTTAACAAAATTAGAAACCAAAAATTACAAACTTAACAATCAGTCGGGATCATTAACCGAGTGTTCAAAATTATGAACTGAGGATGAACGCAACGTCTGCAAAAACCGTCCTTGACTGGTTGGCATGGGTCATCTAAGAAAACTAAAAACAGTATGTTGCTTTGGGCATGGGAGGTACCTCAAGCTTCAGCTTCAGACCTACTTTTATTCAATCAAGAAAATTGTTTTCGCGTGTCAACAATAGTGAATTGGATTGATCAAAACAAATCTGTCAACCACTTAATCGATCCATGATTGGCCTCATCCAAAACCCTTATCACCAAAGAGCCTTTTGTACAGCTTGTAACTTTGAATGCCATCAACTATACCTCAGGGCACAACTTTAGGCCTACTTCTTCTCAGCATCTACACAATCAGTTAATAATACTTTATTAAATGATGTTATGCAATTTGGCAGATGAAAATGCGCTTCATGCTTTAGAGGAAGAGGAAGAGTGACACGCTAATAAAATATTATCCCTTTACCTTTTTATGTGAAAGTGACGCTATTAAAAAATCTACCAATTCTGGAAGATGAGGTGAGATCCCGTTTATACATCCTAAAAGAAAACACAACTCAAAATTAAAGAATATTTGTTACAGAGTGCAGTAAATGTGCTAGGTTTAGAGCAATGTTTCAATTCAGTACATTAAAGAGCACGATAGATATCACCAACGTCAACAGTCTTTTTTAAAACTGTCCATTCACCGAAACACAGAGTTTACCCTTTTGGAAAACTAATTTTTTGTTTCAATCGAGGTTCTAAGAAATATATTCCTCAAGACACTAGATGTAGTTTGAAAAAGGATACCAGAGAAGAGTAAATTTGCAAAATGCAGAGAGAAATATATCGTCTTGGCCGTCAAATTTGAACAAACAGTCATAAAACATGTTATCATTTTGAAACCAAAACTAGTTAACATCACCTTCTGCTATTGCGCCGAGAACAAGAATTCCTGACTCCTTGGTAACCCATTCAGGATGGAATAAGATGTCCTTCAAAATCGGCAGTAACACAGGCAGCAAATCATCACGGAATACTGTCCCTAAGACATCTAACGCTGCTGCTGAACACTTTCCTGTCATAAAATGGGGAAATTTTATAAACTGGGGTTAAAGTGAGACCATATACTATGCTTTTAATTGAGGCAATGCCTTTCACAAAAGAGATACAAATAACATCGCCAAAGCCAAAAGCATTGAAAAGGAATTGCGGTCAGTTCTTATTGTCACTGCAAGGTTAACAGGAGGTGAACAGAATGGAAGCGAGTCTGGATTCAACAATGAACTTTTGCTTGAAAATTTTTGACAGCCTCTTTCAAACTATTCTGGAATGTCATCAGAAGCGCCTTTTCGAACTACTTATCAAACCTATGTCACGTTTAACGTAACGTGCATATAACCCCAAAACGACAGACAAAAATAACTTTAAAAAAGCTTGAACAAAATAGTTTAATTTGCATCTAAAAGGCAAGGTTACAAAGTACGAGTTATAAATTACTACACTGGACACATTTTAGAGTGTTTTATCAAAGCATACCACACAATCATTTCTTTGTCAGTACAACAGACATTCTACTTAACGCATGCAGACAGAAAAACGATAAGCAACACTGGACTCGCAAGTTTATGCAGAACATTGGAAGGCTTAGGTGTTTCACAGACTTTCCTTTACACAGTGTACTTACTTAGATTCCAGTCTGACAGGGTATCATCATCTAAATCATCTTCATCCTCACTGTCTTCCTGACACAAAACAAAAACAAAACCATCAAAATAATGAAAAATCTCTCTAATTAAAACACCGCAAATATCGCAACAACCTATTCTTTGAATGATAAAATCTTAATTGCCTCCAAACCTGTCCATACATATGACAGCACTCGATTTATTGCAAAAAGTTTGAACAATAATGAAAGGGTCGAAAGTAAAGCAGCTAGACAAACAGTTACTAACTTCCCTTGAAGGTACACATAATTTTTTCCTTAAAAGCATTCCAAAAAACGACTTAGATTTAGGACTATCGATTTATGGATCAAGATCAACGTTGTTTTTTTCCAAAAATGACCATCATAGTTCGCTTTTAGCCGTCAACTACTAATAACATCGTTACGTAGGTATTTACTAGATATGCAAAATTTTGCATCATAATACAAACTTGATTACACAGACCTTACTGTGACACTAACAAGATAACAACACAGCTCTGAAACCCCGCTACTTTCCTTGAGCTCACTCACTAGTCTGCCTACCAACAATTTTATCAACAGCTGATGCTGAGCATATGTATCGGAATATGGCCCAACGAAAGAATCAATCTCAGAACAGTTCAATCAGGCCTTTCTGGGAATAAATTAGCACAAGTGTGGCATTTCGCACCCCTGGGCTGTTATAGGCGTGTGATGGAGGAATAATTGGTGTTTTCTACAAAGATTTAATAACATTGTATATTGAACCTTAAAAACCACAATTCTATAGTCATTTCTTCAGTTCTCATACGCAACAATAGATATTTCTAGTGGCAGTGGGTCTTTGGTCTAAATTGATGTTGAAAATATTTAAGATGCAGTTTCAGGGCAACCCTCTTGCCGTCATTCATGGTGGAAATCTTCATCAAACCCTTTAAAAATGTTTATATTTTGGCCCCCACTTCCAATCATCCTTAGAATGATAGATGCCTGATGATCTGGTTATGATATTTCGCACACAATGTGCAATTGTCGTGGGCTTAAATAGAATAACCTGAAAAGCCAGCTTTGTCCCATTCAGGAGTGTGGAGAGCTCTTTTGTGACTCCTATACTTTTCTTTGCTGAAGACGCAAATTTACGAGTGTAGATAAGAACAAATATGGTACAAGTTGTGTCTTGTCCAAAGTCTAGTCAAAACTAGAAAGTCTAGCCATTTGTACAAAAATTCAACTTGATTCACAAATCGAAAATGGTATTTTAGAAACACGTGCGTGCTAACACAGGTCTATGGTAAAAATGCGAGTTAGTTTTTACGAGCACTGGACTAGTAAATGAATGCCAATTGTCATATAATAATGATTTCTGCAGCCCTAGAGGTGAGAATGAAATTTACCGGACTGCTATTAGCCTTGATGCTATGGTAATTTGGTGCGTGTTTTATTTCACACAAATGTCGTCGCAACAGCTCTTCAAAATGATTACGGTGACCCAGTACAGCGGACAAGACTGGTGTAACACAATTTCTTGATTTTTTTTGTCACCTTTTTAGTTTCCGGCGCTTTGGTTAAAAAACAATCGAATAATTATCAAACAGGCGTGTGATTAAATGCACTTCTCAGTGTGGGGAGGCGTGTACCAGCATGTGCGTGTGCGATCATATGCCTGAGTTCAATTGCATCACCAGACCAGCATTCTGAATAAGGATATATACCTGTTGCCCATCCGGGTTGTGAGTCTTTGATTTATGAAACCTCGGTTTTATGTCCTGCTCGCTATCTGGAACACTTTCGTCCTCTTCCAGATCACCCTGAAATTTGATAATGTGCATAAAATAAGGTGACAAGCAAGACTTCACAAGTTAAATTCATTTTAAATGCTGAAGACTCGGCGACATCCTCTTTGTTGAGTCTTCAGCATATAAGAGAACTTATCAATTGGGACTTTCGAAATGTATTGAAGGTAGAAAGAGCAATCTAATACCGGCGGGAAGATGGACTCACCACAACAGTAAAGGCAGATTATTTTCTATAAAGAGTTACAGCCTTTCCTATCACAAAGAGACAGTCAGTATCTAACTTTGAATGGATGCTTGAAATGTATGGGCCATAACAGATAGTCACCAAAACACTAGTCAATTGAAAGGCCTTTTCTATCGAATATGCTAAAGCTGATGTATCTTGAACTTTGTAAATGAGCAAATTTGCAAGATTATATATCTTAGAATTCTTAATTTGGATAGGAATAGCCTGTTTTCAGATCTACAGCTTACCTTTAAAAGGGCTATGTCCATCACTGAGTATTTCATTCCATTCACGAGAGTCGGTATCAGCCTGAAAAATCAAAATACATTTTGTGAATTTTCATTACCATTCTTGTATCATTATCATCATAGTGGTAGTGATAACTTTAAAAATAGGTGCCTAGCGGTGCAGTATTATACTTAACTTATAATGAATGCTAAGATAACAAAGAATACAATTCATTTTAAAGTTATCATCAACTGATCAAAAGGTTCAATGTTGGTTGTCTGTAAGAGGGGCTTAACTGAACAATAACATAACTGGTAAGGGTTTACAATAACATTTTGAAACTTCACATCTAAATCTTGCTTCAGAAAGCACTTTATTCATTACAATATTTGGATTAGGATCTCTGTACAAAGAAAAATAGCTAACATTTTGGAATTCATATCCATATGAAGAATCCATATCATTATTTCAAAGATTATGAAAAAAGAGTCAGAGGTGCAACTCCTTACATGAACAACCATAAACAATTTATTTTCCAAATAAAGCTTTGAGCCCAGGGTTTTCAATAAAAACTTTGAATGCAATCAACTGTCAAATAATAAAATTGCTTGCAGACCAGTAAGATTAGCTAAGCCAAACTCCTTTGCATTTTAACTTCAGTAAACATTAGCTATACACATTTCCTAAAAATGGCCAAGCATACGATTTCCAAATCATGACTAAGGGATGCAAGATGGCAAACACTACATTCACATAGGTAACAGCAATTGAAAAAGCTTCAACAACATTGCTGAATATAGTGCATATAAATGACGACAAGGAATAACAAAATAAAATATCGTCTGGCGTTGGCAAGCAGATACCTTTGAAGGTATGGGCCCAGAACCTGCTTGCATATTGGTTGTTCTGCTAGGGCAAGCCAAAATTCACAAGCTTCAAGAGCTACACTTTCTTCTGCATCTTGCGTGCGCAGCAACATGTACTAAATAATGAACAGGCAAATTAGAAAATTTACAAAAATTGGTAGATAAGAAATTCCACTGATAAAACGTCAAGTCTAATATACACCTTTCATACTGCTTAATAAAATTTAAATTACTGATAAACTTTATTTGCATCTCCACCTTCCCATATCAAAAGAAAGGAGTGTTAGATCTCATTTCATAGATTCATTAGATGAACGAGATCGAAAATGTTGAGATATTTTATGGAGCAAAATTTGAACCAGAAATGTTATAAATAATGCAATATGCAGGTGCAAATTTGCACTACAGTTTTGCTATATAAGGTCTTAACAGGAAAGATGAAATTCATCCATGTGTGAAAGTCAGCAAGACATGTCACAAATAGAAAGATGAAATTCATCCACGTGTGAAAGTCAGCAAGACATGTCACAAAAGGGTCCATATGTAATAGTGAGCAAGATATGTCACAAAAGGAAAGATGAAATTCATCCATGTGTGAAAATCAGCAAGACACATCACAAATAGAAAGATGAAATTCATCCATGTGTGAAAATCAGCAAGACACATCACAAATAGAAAGATGAAATTCATTCATGTGTGAAAGTCAGCAAGACACATCACAAATAGAAAGATGAAATTCATCCATGTGAAATAGTCAGCAAGATATGTCACAAAAGGAGAGATGAAATTCATCCATGTGGGAACAACAGCAAAATATGTCAAAAAAGAAAAGATGAAATTAATTCATGTGTGAAAGTCAGCAAGACATGCCACAAAAGGAAAGATGAAATTCATCAATGTACGAAAATCAGAAAGGAATAAATACATTTGGTCAAAGTAATGAAAATTACTCTTCACCATAAAGTGTTTGATACCATATAGGCAGAGCTGTATTTGCTATTTTGTGTATAAAACAGGAAGACTCTAAGTTGCTCCTCTGAGTTTCACATTTAATGCAGACTTCATTTGGTCAAAGTGGGTCTTGAATTCTTGGACAAAATTCATTCAATAAATTTGCAGGTTCTATATTGAGGTGTAAATCATTACCTAAAAACATCAACATGCAAAAATTCACAATTACAAATATCTAAATCTTCACAACAAAGTTTATGATGGTTACCTCAACAAGATTGTTCATTTGTGGAATGAGCTGGTCCATTCTTACTTCTAACAACATGACAATGGCTCTGCAGACATTTTTCTGCACTTCTGGATCACTGTCGTTTGAAAGGCTGAAAAGGCCCTTTGGAAACAAAATATGATTTGGGGAATTCAAACAATATACTGTGAAGACTTACAAAGCCTATTTATCATTAATTGCATATTTGACTTACTTATCAGTCAACCAAAATAGTAAATTCAACAAAAAGTTGTGAGTGCCAGGACTTCAAAATTGAAATACAACACATATGAATAGTACACAACAGCTGTCTTAACACATTCAGCAACTTAATTTTTTTAAGCCACATGTCAATAGATGCTATCCAAGTGGAAAATTTTTAGAATCTAGGCAATGTATAATGATAATTGACAAGTATTTTCTGTTTTTCTAATAAAATGTGCAAGCCCTTCTCACATTTTGAGGACTATCACAAAAGATCCCTTTCTATCTATTTAGCTTAAACTTCAATTACACCAATCTTTTCAACTTTTCATAGATGACTAAGGATGTCATATACTGCAAATGCTAAACAGAATTACTGTACAATCCCTAAATAAACACTCATGGCAACAAATTCAATTAAAACATACTTCCATAAACTGTGGCAACTGATGCATCAAGACTTGGCTTCTACAGAGTACAAACTGGTTCACACAAGCAATTGCATGGGACCTAAGAGCATAGAAGTCAAAAACATGAAAACAGATGAGGGATAAAAAGTCTGTGACACAAAAGCTATAAAAAGGAATCCATGAAGAAGATAAATCTTGCTTTTCATTATCATTTACTAAGCAACAGAGTTCTTCGGTATGATATCATAAAAATCCTATATTTTGAATTTTTTAACTTTGACCATATAATCTAAATAACACTGCAAAATTATTCTAAAACTGGAAAATCAGAAAAGTATGGAAAAAATTGGGTGAAATACTTAGCTCTGTTCATAAAATTACAAACATAGACCAAATTACAGAGGCTTGATAGAGATTGAGCATGTGCTCGTGAAGCAATGTCTCATCAAATATTTCTAATTCATTTAACTGATTTTGCACATTTAGATGTAGTTGTGATGTTCTTTCAGGCTATGAGATCCAATTAAAAAATTCCAAAAATAGATTTATGTGATGTCATCACCTACAAACTGTGGATGCTACTAGCTGACGTTGAGTGTTGAATAGTGCTACATGATTCAGTGTGGTTCTAAGTTGCTATTCTGTATTGTGTACATGCCTAGAGCCTTAATTTGCTTTATCAATATCTTATTCCAGACAAAGCTCACATCACTTTAGAACTTTTTTAAAACTGTAGTGAATCCCTGTTATCCTGTCACTCAAAATAACAAAGCTCTTCCACAAAAAACCTTTCATTCGTATATTTCCTGACTTCATTTCATAGACCTGGATTACAAGAGCTGATTCTCTGAGAATTGTTTTCTTAATCAAGGTATATAAGCCATGAAATTTTTCTTATGTTATCATCTAGACTTTAACAAATATATACAAAGAAAAGCATTGAAACAGCACAGGATTTCTCTTATAATTTCACCAAGGTATGTTTTAACAAGGCTCCCATCAGGCTGCAAGGAAGCTGCCATTTCTGTGGTCCAAGGAAGCATTTCCAAGGCCAGCCCAGATATTACTATTCTCCAGGGCCAGTCCAGATTATGCTTTTGCCAAAATGATTCAAACCTTGTTTTTGCTTGCAAAATAGATTTTAAGCCCACATAGCCTCTTTAATTACAGCTGTGACTTTTCACGAAAATCATACAACAACTAAGAACTGACCTGACTTTAGCATTGTTATGTCTAAAGAACTCAAGAAACTTTGGAATCATGATGCTAGCTGGCTGGTTGGTACCATCTGCATCAAGCTGTGGAGCTAAATCTTCACATATCTTCTGTAACGCTCCAAAAGAGCCCTGTGGAATATAAAAATAAATATCCTTCCATAACTGCTACAATACAAAGAAATTGAAGATAGCTTTTTAGCAGTGGCAGACATCTGGGGGTGAAGGGGGCAGTTGCCCCCAATATTTCTGACAATAAACAATTGTTTTTTGTTCTAAAACAATGATAAATTGTGACATCATCTTTTCAAAACAATAGGCTTAACCCTCCCTCCCAATATTTCACCAAGTGTCTGCCCATGCTTTTGAATACATATATAATTTTACAACAACACCAAATAATGTATATAAATTGCAGAGTGATTTTGAGTTGGTGTCCCATTAGCAATATTATGATAGAATACAAAGTTTTTCTTGTTGATACCTTTTAGATATTTGTTGCAGTTTACTTTAGCTTATTTGAGCCAGGCCTATTTAAATAAACTTGTTTTTCAAATTAATATTGCCATTGGTTTATGCTAAACACAATGAGTGAAAATAAAAACAAATACATGGCAACAGCATGATCAAATTAGACAACTTCAATGTACCTCACAAACATTGAAATCTTCACTGTCAAGCAGCTGTAAGAGCCGAGGCAACAGCTCAGGCCATGTGCCCAGTTCCTTCTGTGCAATGGTAGTGACAAGAATTCCTATTGTTGCTCTTATAAGTGGGGATGGGTCTCCTATCGCATTCAAACATTCAGCTTTAACAAATTCTCTAACTTCGGCTGGAAACCTATGGTAGTTACTTCTAACATTATTCTTCAGAATAAGACCTGCCAAAGACCGGGTTGGTTCATCTAAAACAAGAAAAAAGAACAATTTCATACATGTGCTATTTCTCTAATCTACTGTTATGAACTTTTAAAACATGTTGTAAAAACAGACTTTCATATGTTGAATTTTGGAAAACAGAGATGTCACAATCAAGGAAAGAAGCCCTTTCAACAATGTGTAATTTATATGAGACCTTAATACAGGTGGTGCTATTTCTATTTCATCCAAGGGGGTTCACTGCAATAGAAGGCTAGCCAGAAAAGGTAACTGCAAATTTTAAGTGTTTACAGATATCAAAACCTTCAGAAAAATTGTAGCAACACTGCTTAAGATGAGTTTGTACTCCTTGATTAAGGTAAGCCATTTCTCCAATTAAGGCAACATTCACCAATTCCTAATGTTGCTCAAATGTTGCCCAGCTTGGCCTCCATGTCAGCTGACAAATTCATTAAGAAATTTGTTGCTCGAATGTTTGAACATGCTCAAACATTTTTTGGCAACATTTGTTTCTCAGCTCTATGTTGTCCAGTTTGGCCATATTGTCAGGCAACAATTCACTTTAATTTCCCATCTGAGAAAAATCAACATGCACAATGTTGCAGACCTGGCAGTGAGCATTTTAGCAGGCGCGGGGTACATCGCTCTCCTCAGGCGGGTGATTTTTATAAGTATATGTATGAAGTATATGAATAAACAACATTCTTTAACAGCTAAGTTTACAGAACAAGATGGCGATTCTCTGACAAAAATAAAACGATAGTTTCATATAATCGCAAATCAACAACATTCAAAATTTGTTCCATTGATGTAGGCTTCAACAGCCGCCTTTGCACTGCCTTTGCAAAGCAGGTTCAAGAGAATAGAAGCTTTATCTTGAGTGCAAAGTTTGCACCAAATGAACCTCACCATCTTCTATCCATCTATCTCCTCAATTTCTCTTCCAAGAACAGCCCCGTTGTCAGATTTTTTAAAAGTTCTCAGCTCATCAGTCGATCCTTTCTGGTTACTCGAAGACCAAGGTGGGCGGTTAATGTGCGAACTGACATTGAGGCGAGCGATGAATAGCTCGACTCACTTACCCAAGGCGATGGTGGAGGCACGTGCGGGCGATCGCCCACCTAAAATGGCCAGGTCTGATGTTGTATTGCAAAACAATATGCTATACTTGATTCAAATAAAATGGCCTGTCAAAATTTAAGCTTTGAAGTTGATTGTACAGAATGGGGAGAAAAACATGGAGTGGAAGAATAGGTCAGGGAGAATAAAAAGGTGCCTATCAAAATTTTTGAAAACCACATATCAAATCAAATTTGGCGTGCTGTTTTGTCAAAATGAGCAAAATATGCTGCACAACAATGTTGCCAGTTTGGCCACCATGTTTCGATGACAAAAAAATCAACAAAATTTTGAGCAACATTGTCAGGCAACAATGTTGCCAAGTTTTGCCAAGGCTTCATGTGTTGGGAACAAAGCCTCTAATAGCCTCTCAATTTTATAAGTTATCAAAATCAAGATTTGATTAATCAATTTCAGATTTAAATATAAAACTTTATTACACCATTACCAAAATCAGCAAAAAGAAAACTTAGTACAGTGAAAAGGGCATCTGATAGCAATCAGCTTGATAAAAAAATCATCAAAAATGCTACAAGGACAGGTTATAGCTCCTTTTGTAATTATATATAAAGCAACTTGAAACTCTGTCTAAAACTGCATCACTTGTTGAAAAATGACTGTGCAAATTTTTTGGCTTTTACAACATCTTTTCAAGTAGTTACTGTGCCATAGCCAGAATTAATCTGGCAGTGTTTTCTCCTTAGCAAAAAAGGGCATGCTCTATGGATAGCTTTGACACTATTCAATTTTTTCATGAAATATATATAAAACTTTATCTTAAACTTTAAAACTTTATCTTATATATCTTTATTCTGATTGTCTATTCACTGAATAAGAGAGTCAAACAAATTTCTCTAGTTGTGACAAAATTAGGACTTTTAGCTTCAAGTTTTCTTCATTTTTTTCAAAATTTGAAAAGAAATTTAAAAGATGAAAAATTGGCATATCATTGGTCAAAATGTTAAAGTTAGGAATGTATATAATACTTTAAACAAAAAATTTGGACATTGTGTTCAAATTTAAAGGGCCTTTTTATCTAGAGATCTTATCAGAAAAACTTACCAATCCCTTCGCCTTTCAGCTTTGTCAAAACAAATATCAAATAACTATTGAAATCAGGATATTGATTTAAAGATTCCAATTTCTGGCAAGAGTAAAGGAATGACACATGAAAGAGAAAACTTTATTTATGAAACAGTCTTTGAATCAAAGCAATATAAAGACCATAGATTGAATTGTACAAAATCTGAAAATGACCAAGTTATGTTTTTAAAATTATAGCACAGCACTGACCACCAAAAGCACAAAAAAACAATATATATACATATCCACATGGATGCATATATAGATTGACCAAAACCAGAGAAAGCGCAATTGCAACCAAGCAATGCAAAAAGCAACTGTAACTACAACACTCACAACTGCAAAACCAACAAAAATCACTTTAAAAGTTACATTGTAACTTCATAATCTGATAATTTTGAAATTTCAAACACTCAACAACATTTATATAAAATGCCTTAGTGGCAGTCACATCCTCTGGCTCTTCCGTTTCTCCTGCATCCAAAAATTGATTCTAGTGTGGTTTGTATTTTGTAGACTAGATAAAGAACAGATATATATTTCACAGAATTAATAATCTGGGATCCATGAATTTTGCTTTGTAGAGTGAGTACAGGGTCAGCGCTTGAGTTAGGTTAAGATTAGCATATGAAGTCATCACCAGGAATGGGCCCAGAAGGGATGATTTTTAAAAATGGAGTGCAGCTGAACATTATAACAAAAAGGTGGTAAAAGCAGGTTTTGGAAACAAAGCCACTCAATTGTTTTCTAATCAGCCTTGCAACTTTATTTTATTCAATATCACGTAAAAGAGACACAAACTAAATATTGGTAGAAACACTGCCTCAAAATTTTCAAATAGGCTGCCCTTGTTTTGAAGCAGAGAAGGTGTTTTAAATTCCTGGTTTCAAACCAAAATAATACAAAATTGACTGAAGAAAAAACAAATTGCCTTATTGCAAAAATATAACATAAACAAATATTCAATAAGAATTTCCTTGAAAACGTTTCAGAATAAGATCTTGCCAGCTATTGCTCCTACTTAGCATTGAAAGTTCAACTGTTTATTAATGGTTTATGGTATTTTACCTATATTTTACAATGTCTGTCTGTGTGTCTAGTTTGCTTTAGAGTAGAACACCTCTTTTACATTTATGTGCAGGAAAGTGGTGATTTCAAAAAGGCCTTTTTGTAAGACAACGCATTACTTCTCTCAAGGGAAAATTCTGGTATCACAAACTACAAATGCAATATTTTCCCTTTGTTTGTGTTCTACAAGCTGCATATGTAGAACCGGATACAAGATATACCATTCTACTTCTAGCTGAATAGCTTAGCCTAATAGTCTAAGTTGGAGCTATGAGATTACACCAGGTAAAAACGAAACCTTAAAGATAAACATTGTTCTTTGCTTTTTAAATTTATTCCAACAGATTTAAATATACAGCTTTCAATTTCTAGCGCGTTTTAATACTCTACCGCTTAATTTCGTCAGATTTGTTGCTTGCTACAAATCTAGGCCCATGCAAACCACGTCGTTTTAAAATTACAATAAAGAAAGGATACTTGTTGAACAGCTCGCTGAGTGTCAGTATTTGGACTTTGACTTTCTTTTAGCAACTGAAGAATTTGCTCTAAACCTTGCTGGTTTGGTTGCCAGCCTGTTCCATCCATCTTCATGATAGATTTCGACTGTCCGCCAGGTCGAGGTAAGGTTCAGCATGAGCATGCGGTGGGAGGAAGGGTCTGGAACGAGCTGGCTACATATGAGAATATATACACTTGGGACATCCTATTCACTGGGCCAATGTCGTTAGATTGAGCGGCTTGTCCCGTAGAGGCCAATGTGACAGAAGAAGCGATAATAAATCTCACTGTAGTGACAAAAGAGTCAAAGACGTGTCATTTGGCTTTTGTGTTTGGTAGAACATATTTAGTTATAATTAGCAACTGGTAAAATGCTGCTTGCATGCAATTTCAGCTTTTATGAATCCTGAGGTCAGGAAATGCCTCGTCCCCGGGGAGAGAGGAATAGAGTTCCTTTTACACTGTCCGGGATTGCTATCGGAAAGGAAGAGACCAGAGAAGATTCTACTCCGAAGTGATAATTGGGGTAGAAGTTACACTTAAAACGTCCAGCCTACTCGTAAGCCTGAATTCCTTTGCATCTCTGGTCCACAATAAAGTGTGCTTTTCCACTTTTATTGATTAAGTCCACCAGATTAATAATTTGATAATCGGGTCTAAGCTATGTGCTGCTAAAAGAATGAAACAACGAAGATAATCGAGAGAGGTACTTGCTAGACCGATAGCAATACAGCATTGGAATACGATGTGTTACCTTTTATTCATATGGTCATTCCTTTGCATCTCTGGTCCACAATAAAGTGTGCTTTTCCACTTTTATTGATTAAGTCCACCAGATTAATAATTTGATAATCGGGTCTAAGCTATGTGCTGCTAAAAGAATGAAACAACGAAGAAATCGAGAGAGGTACTTGCTAGACCGATAGCAATACAGCATTGGAATACGATGTGTTACCTTTTATTCATATGGTCACCAGTTAGCGTTGTCATTTTTTATCTTCATGTTTGCCAAAAATGGATCACAGAGTTGGAATCTTCATGTTGAATTGAAATTAGTCATTGCCGAGACAGGTCGCGCTGTTGCCTGTGTAGTCAGGCCGCGAAAAATGCAATTTTCAAAATTCAGTTTTGATTGTGCGTTTTTCTTTTGCAGTCCAAACGACATGAAGCTTCCGTGTAGACTAAACCATTTTAATTATGAGATCCATTTTGATAGCGAGACGCAAAATCGGTGAAAATTGCATATTCGCTCAATGAAATCGTTTGGGAAGGAGTGAAATGTAAATGCAAAGAACAGTTTTCATAAGGACAATTTTCGCTGGGGATTATCCAACAGGCAGCCAAAATTTTGGAACATTGTTGATCAAACATGAAAACAAAAGGGATGCTTTACGAAATGTTTGACATCGCAGAACAACATAAAACATCGTTAAACATGTTGTCAAAACGAATAAAACATGTTTTATCCAACAATGTTGGATGATGTTTTATGCCGATATCTTATTCGTTTGGCAATTGAAAAAAATTTGACAAAGAGAAGTGATTGGAGTTGGTAATAAACTCAAATAATGAAGAAAAACTTTATCTTTACATCTATATTATGCTAAATATGATATTATTTATTTTATCTTTCTTCATTGAACAAAGTATTTTATGGGAAGTCTTTTCACAATACGAATCAACTTTCTGTAAAAATGTGAAAACATTAGCTATGGAAGATTAAAAAGATGGAAGATAAACAAAAACACTTGAATGCAATAGTTTAAACGCTCAGTTGAACTTGAATGTTCTCTGTTGTAACTCATATTTACATCAGATTAATGCAGATTTACATCTTTGCAAATCAATGCATCAGAAAACATTGTGTTGTAGTAAGGAGTCAAATATATTTTCGTTGCTAATAAAATTGTTGGTTGTATTTTCATACTTTTGCCTGGTCATTTTAAGGGTCAGAAAAACAACTGACTTTGCTTGGCTTAGTGAGCCAGTAATTTTTAGAAAAATTATCGAAATAACTATGTTTCGAATCATACTGTTTCAAAAACTATGTTTCAAAATTCAAAACAAACATGCTGAAATTACTTCTGTCTCTAATAATGAAAAACTGCAGCAGCAAGAGGTCTTTCAGTGTTTTGAAACGCACAAAGAAATACCTTCGACCAACCAACTATAGGTCAGATTCGATTGGGTAGACTGTCTCTGCTGAGCATCGAGCATGGTGTAATGGACATGCTTTCATTGATGACATTATTTCTGACTTTGCAGCTTTAAAAACACGAAAAAAGTTGGTACAAAGGACGTTATTGCGCAAACTTATTGTTTGACATTTTTTTGCTTACATTTCATCTTAATTTGTAATTGTCGTACATCTTAACTTGTTGTTTCGAGTTTTTGCAATATACGTTAATGATGTTAATGCCTATTTATAATAGTCTTTTCCTTGGCAGAATTCGGCCCTAAAATATCTTAGGCCCCCGCCCCTTGTATTTGTTGATTCGCCACTGGGCCTAGGTAGAGGGGTTCAGAAGGGGCGAAGCTAAACTGCCTTATATGTTCCAAGAGTTCCGTGTCAAATAACAGGGACCATCATTCCAGGTCCAGCACATATGTACCAAATAACAGGGACCATCATTCCAGGTCCAGCACATCCAAGTAAACGGGGTCCAACAGTATATAAGAATTGTCTTGTAATTGATGCTTTCCTCTCCACTTTAATCAAACGAGATTTTAAACATTTTAAAAAATGAGACTAGAAGACTAGAGCTCAAACTTACTACAACCAAATCTTTGATAAAAAATGGCGAAAAGGGAAATTTTGCATTTACAAACATATCGACAAAGGTGTGAGCTGCTGTCAAGGAAAATTTTCAGTTTTAAATTTCTATGACATTTCGATGAAGCAATTTCTTTATGAATTATCAATATACTACTAAATTGGCCTCCTGCACCTTTCTTAAGGAGCGTTTTATTTTTCATGTCATTTTCTGCTAGGAGATAATATTTTTGTACTTTCGGAAAAACAGCCACCGTCTCGTGTCAAATAACAGCGACCATAATTCCAGGCCCAACAATAGATATTGTCCTCGAGAGAAGTTTCAGGTCCTGTTTGCCAACAAAGTGGGTGAGCCATCCTTAGCTTACCGGCAAGTTTGAAAATTTGCCAACCAGATTGCAAGAAACTCCTCGTAGGTGTCACATCATAAACTTTGAGGCTGAATTTTTTTAAAAATATTATGATGTATGCAGTGCAGTCTCTAGCTATTGTGCTCAAGAGAAGTGCTCAAGCCCCCTTTGCCACCATGGTGAATAAGCCACCCTTCATTTGCCGACAAGTTTAAATTCGCCAGCCAAAGCACCTCTAAATGGCAAAAAACTCCTCGTTTTTTAGATAGAATTTTTAAGGAGATGACACAACTTTGTTCAAAATTACATTTTACAGTACCTCAGCCTCAGCTAGGTCTTTAATTGTTCAAACTTTCAACCAATTTGGGGCTCATCTTGTTATAAGATTGCTCTTAAAAAAGTTTATAGTTATGTCTGTTTATAGTTAAGGAAAACAAAATGAAAAATTGAAAAAATGTTCCTTAAAAATGAATAAATTACGATTTAAGGTAAACTAAAGCAACGAAAATAATGAGCGAGCCTTAATTATAACTTATTTATAGCCGGCATCTTTAGCACGTAAATAAACAACTTTTCCCACCCTGTCAACCATCGCATAAGAAAAGAATATGAAATTCGCTCTCAAGAAACTTAACTCCTTGAAAATTGACAACTCGTTTTATTTCAAGAAAAATGGCAGATATACAAGAAACATCCGTGTAAAGAAGATAGGACTTTATAAAGCGTGGCAAAAAGTGATTTTCCAACTTGCAGACGAATGAACGCAAATGACATCATATTCCTACACAGTGATAGGGAGTTACTAACAAAAAGCTCGAACTGTGCATTATAAACGTTAAAAGTTTTACTTGTGAACGATAACTTTGGAACAGCAATAACTATGAAGACCAGTCAGCCCTTCAATCAAAATGCTTAAATATGTTTCTGAAAGCGTAATAAAATATGTTATTAGTAGAAAATATTATTGACTCGAATTATTGCTTTCATTTATTGACACCGTAGCAAATATTTACTCTTCTATTCTAAAAACATCCAGTGGCCTAAACAAGAACGTTTTTGGCGGCCAGTTTGATTTTTTCCGCACTCTCAGTGATGTCTTCAGATGAAAGTTCACTGTTGACCGTTATGCGGATGCTGAAAAGAGATCAGCTCTGAATTACATGAAATAAGAGAGTTAATTGGTGTGTGTACTTATTTAACTTGGGCAAAGCTGAAGATGCTACTGTTGAAAACAAGATTAAAAATGTGGGTCATAATCCAGGAAAATTGCACTGGTATCCCTAGCTGTATGATTTTATGCAAACTGCTGAGTACTTCACTAGTAGGTTCTCTACTGGTCTTTCTACAGATGAATCTAAGATATACAATTTCTATAGGTTGTCTAGTCAACACTACAAAAGCCTGGGTAATAAACAAACCTTGCCAAGGGTAAATGAAGTTCCTGGTCGTTGAGATATCTAGCCAATGTCAAAGCAACACCATCTTCAAGAGCCTGCGAAATGATCAAAACCTTATAAAAAGCGACCAAATCTTTCTTCTTTAAACTACCTAAATAAATTAGTCAATTTTACATGTTGTCGTTCAAAACTTAGATACTGAAGAGAAAACAAAAGAACTTCGCGCTCAAAAGGGCTTTGTGTGCTATTCAAGAGCCTGTATGGGTCACACTACTAATTCCTTACAACATTATACTACAGAGCATTCCAGGGCCACATTAGGAAAAACGCGATCAGGGCCTTAAATGACATACCCTAGAGTTTTTATAAAGATCATTAATGGCCATATCCACAAACCTCATCGACAATCTTCTGAAGAATCCTTTCTTGCTCTTGACGCGACTTTTCTGAATTTTCTTTAATCAGACGAAGATGGATAATTGGTGAAATCAAATCCCCTTCTACGCTCAGACCAGTAATCCTGCAATAGTGTAAAAGAAAATAAGAATTGGCCTGAACTATTTCCATCTTCCACTATAGTTGCATATTCAAAGGCAGTGAAACATGAACCCGAACAAAGGTCAGAATTTTAATCATTCCTTGCAAAGGTCAGTTTACCAGATATACTAGATAGAAATCAGTGAAATTGTTTTAGACTTGCCAGAGATTCTGCACCAAGTAGCTGGCATTTGCTTACCCATTGGTTGCGGTTCCAGGTTTGAATGCATAGATATTGTTTCTTAGATATTCCTTTTTTCTAAAAAATCTTTCAGAAAGCGAGGATGCAGATCTTTTTTGCTCTGTGACAAGCAGCTGCAGACTTGCAAGCAGCAGATGGAATAAGTTAAAAATTGATGATAAAGATGGTATGACTTCATCTGCGCATACAAAAGTCCAGTCTAAGAATAGCAATCGCTGCTTCAATGAAAGCATCATCATAACTGTAATAATCCATTATATTATCACTCAACATGTGAAATCATTGACAACAAGATGAATAAGGAAGAATGCAGATCACTAAAGAACTCTAATGGTCTTACCCTTTTAGCTCGTCCCTTAAAAGACTTGCATTCTTCCGAGTCCTTTCAAACATTTCTGTTCAACAAAAGAATATTTCAACAGCTTTGGTATACACTTTCAAAAAAGTCAAACGAGAGGGATTTTTGCTGCTCTTCGAGTAGCTACGACTGTCTTGAATACAAGTATGCATGAGCCGAGTATTTTTACCAGACATACAAGTTGTCATTTAAGATATAACTCATCAAATATAATGCTTAAGCAATAGTTTTATAATCAAAGCAGCTACTAGAGGACTAGAGACGACGAAAATTATTGAACGCTCCAGGCAGTGTTCACTTAAGGATGTGATTTTAGCCAAGAATTGAGTCACACCAACCTGGATGCTTGTTCATTATATCCAATGCCGAATTCGCAGCGGTTGCAAGAAGTGGGGGAAGTGATGCAGAGAAGGCATACCCTTGACCCGATAAGCGCTGAAAAAATAAAAATTATAGTTAAACGCTAGAAAATCATGGCTCTGACACATAAAAAGTGTACACTCATTTTTTTAATAAGAAACTGGCTATAAGAAACGAGTACTTGACAGTCAGACCGTCAGAACGGAAGCGAATTTCTCGATGTGATAAAAAAGGTCACGGACATTTCATGACATCATTCATGACATCATAATTAAGAAACTCTTAAGAAACAATGAGTATAGAAAATTCCAGGACATTAAGAAACTGGAGTACTCAACATCGACCTTTGTTTTTTATAAAAAGAATGAGTGTACAACAGAAAAGGTCTTACTCGTTTCACTAAACTCATTTTTTTTATAAGAAACAAAGGTCGATCTTGAGTACTCCAGTTTCTTAATCTCCTGGAATTTTCAATACTCATTGTTTCTTAAGAGTTTCTGAATTATGATGTCATGAATGATGTTATGAAAAGTTCGTGACCTTTCTTATCACGTCAAAAGATTCGCCTCCGTTCTGATGCTGTATTTACATGTGGAAAGCATATTTTATCCCTTGTGTCTTAAGTTCTAGGCCAACAGGGCAATCGTGTTCTTGGATTTTACAAAATTTCGATGTTTTCAGTTTTATTTCGATTGAATAGTTTCTTAATTTTTTGCTTCTGTAAATGTTGATATGGTTTAGAAAGAGGCAAAAAAACAAGAATATTCTTGTATTTGCTATTCTCAGCATCAAAACTTAAAGCATTTTCCATTATTTCCCAACTAAAAGTCATCTTCTGACTTTCTTGAAACTTCCTCTGGCCATTTGAATTTTGGTTAGCTAAAACTTTTGGCTGCAGTGCCGCCATTTCTGTCACAGCCTGTGCAAATACTTTTGCTCACTAAGTGTATATTAAAAAGTGAATGACTTATAAATAAAAAATTTTTAAATGTGTAATAATTGCATTTAGGATACTCCTGAGCAAAAATACCGACCTGATGATCAACAATGAACGATGAACCAGCAGAAAATCCACCAACCGTGGCAAGAGATGTTTCTAAAGAGACCGCGATAAGATCAACCTCTTCAACCTGAAGAAGAAGCAAACGAGGTAGATATTATAAACATTTAATAATCAAAAATGGTTTTGTGGGAGTTCACATTGTGGGCTTGAAAATTGTGTGGTTTTTAGCACCTGTAACACGTTGCTAACATCAAAGTGAGCCAGGAAGACACCGAACACTACAACGTACGGATACTTTCTATTTAAAGGATTAAAGGATTTTGGTGTCTCCATTATTATCGATTCAGAGTGGTGACAGAGATGTGCCAAAAGCTTAATAAAACATTTAAATGTTCTTATGAAAAGATCTTCCACATCTCAAAACATATTTCCAGTCGTTTAAACGTCCTTAAGCTTGAGTGAAACAGGAAAAGTTTCACGCAGAAATTTAGACTTACCTGGCCTATTTCTCTTATGTCTTTTTATCAATAAGATTCTTAGTATGGTTTCTACTTGTTTGGTCTCTGGTCTAGTTACATTTCGAATCTCTAGCACGATTTTCAAAAACACAGAACAACTAATTAATGCAAAAGCATTAACATAGACAATCAGAAAGAATTTTGGTTATTAGCTATCCATATGCCATTGCTGTGTTTATGAAGCTGAAAAAATACTCTTACGGGTATCCCATAATGCTCAGTGATTCCTTTGCCATGTCTACCAAGCACACCAAATGACATTGTTTCTTCCACAATCATGCGAACTTTATACCTGTTTTTCAACTCAACCTGAGAAATTAATTTAGAAATTTCTAAGTTCAACTGATTATTTACAAATGTAAATTCAAAAAGGAAGTTAGAGACTGGTTATTTTACCCATGATCTCCAGTTGGATTTGAAATTAAAAGTTCTGCCCAAATTATGGCCTATACGTATAAGGATGGATCATAATTTGGATCATGTTAAGGAAGCTCTGACTGAACCTTAACATTTGGGATTTAACACTTTGAAAGAGAAAGTGCAGTCCTTGACTTGCGTTCAAGCCACTGGCATTGTTGCATTGGCAAATGCACTCAAACATAAACCGTAAAAAATCATTACATTGTAGCCTATCTGCTGTCGTTAATCCATTTTCTTGGATCGATTGGACCACCAAAAAAAATTAAATACCTCCGTTTTGTTGTATATTTTTTGTTTTTCCGAATTACTGTAAGCATTAACATAGCAATGCACAGCAAAGAATCCAATGCACAGCAAAGAATCCTTAACAGTGACTGGAAAGTTTGACTGATATATAAAAAGTATTAATGCACATACCAATTTTGGCAAGGGGGCAATATCCCCATAGTTTGCATAAATCCCTTCAACTACCAAAAACCTTCTCGTCGATTTAGCTTTCTTCGGGTTCTAAAAAAGAGTATTTTTTACAAGCCAGCAATACTATAAAATAATATGTCACATCCACAGGAAAGTTTGGATACTGACCGAAAAAGAACCATTTCAGTTTATACCCAAAGGCCGAGCTGGGGGGTGACTTGAAACAGGAAATGACTTTTTTTGTGCTACCGTGCCTAAAAATATTAATGCAGAAAATCTGTGCATTTTCTGAAAAAATCCCACGTATCAGTTTACACAAAAGCAGCTCATTCAGAATCCGAAGCAGATTTGATTGTGGCCTAATTTCACGGTAATACTTACTATCATCTCTATACTCATCTGAGCGTTCTTTAAAAACAGACAATAAATGTGGGCTTCTTATGTAAAGCTAAACCTCAACCTGGCAAAATTAATTGTCTCTTTACTTGATCTATACATACAAAAAGCTGAAATCTCGATGATGATTATAGCAGATGAATCAATCTAATAGTACAAAAGTAAGTTAGTAGTGTTTAGCAATCAGTTGGTACCTTGATATCTCTCTCTTCCTGCTCTTTCAATATCCTTTCGAGGTCCATCATATCATTATGTCTAAACCAATAAACTTTGCTTCTTGATGCCATAATTCCCTTCTGAATTGCAAATCCTACTCCATCATCACTGTCAAGAAAAAAGATCATATCTTGTTTATCAGAACAATATTATAAGAAAACCAGATTAGAAAATCGGACTCGCTATATCTTGAAAAATGACAATGAATGGCAAGTGCCTTTTATTCGAAATTCAAAAAAAATATTCTACAATTGCTTCAAAAAATGGTGAGCAAATATCTTTATTCGTATGCTTTTTGCAAATTTCATTCATTTTCGGTAGGTACCTGGCAGTGGCTTTTTTTATTATGGAAAATCCTTTGGAGCCTTATTGTAGAGCCTGAAGCTTCAACAATCCTGAACTACATCCTGATACCACTTGACCTAACATTTTTTTAACAGAAATCTATAAAAAAATTAATACTCAAGAGCAGTGAATTGCCATTTTGAACAAGGATAAGGGATTGCCCAAAAAAATTGCTGCAATACAATGGTTTTCCTTGTTGCAATTCAGGCCTTCCCTGATAGAACAGGGCTTTATCCACGACGCACAATCTTCGAAGAGGCAACCCCTCTTCTAGATCTTCTAAGGGGACCATGCCATTTCTTAATGTGATGCTATTTTCTGAGCTACATATATGTCAACAAACATTTGTTCTAGAAATCTTCCTAAAATCGGACTGCATCTTAATTAGACCTACCAAAATATAACGTCAGTCCTTTTAGAATATGCTGGTATAACACTAGCAACGGTTGAAAAGCCATAAGAATACAAAGCAGCCTCTTGTGTGCCAAGATAAGAAGCAATCTTTTCTTCTAGATGGAGATGGACATCTGAGGAAACAAAAAAGCACTTTTAAGAATATTCTTGCTACCAATGATTCTATGACACAGCTCTTACATGAATTGTAATGTATTTTAAAACAATCTTATACAAGATGGAAAAAACAACTTTATGATAACTGGAATGGCATGCATTGGTAACTGTATAGGAATAATCGGTGGAAAGTCACAGCTTTCAGCCCAAAACTTAGAATTACTTAGAACCCTGTATATGCGTGAGAAGCCCATTTCAAGCCCCATCATCTTTTAATTTTTCGTTACCAGGGCAATATATTTCATTTAAAAAAATCTTACAGTTGCTATGGGCAACAAAAATGCTGTAGGATGTTTAGAAAGGAATGTTGCACAGGTGGTTAATGTACTTGAATGTACTGCTGAAGGCTAGGAGGACAATTCCAGGTACTGTCCACAAACATTGAAGCTAAGACATTGTCTAGCCAGCCGTTAGGGCCCCCTTAGAATTTTAAAGGGGTTCCCACTGTAAAGATGTGTCAACAATAACATTTTTTAAATTAAACTCAGCAAAAAACTAGCCACCTTACCAGGTAATGCTGTTGGCCAAAAAAGTGTAGCCTAACAATTCTTTCCAGATAACAGATTCTGTTTAGGACTCACTTTTCCCTTGACATTATTAAGCCTTGCTATCTATATATAATAGCTTCTTTTCACCTTACTTCTTATTTTAACTTAAAATTTATAAGAAGAGATCTTCAGAACAAAAGATACAAACACACCAATGCTGCCATAGAAAGCTCTTGGACCACATGCCCCTAGACCATATTTTCTCAATGTATCAATAGCTGAATCCTTAAAGGGAATAAAAATGGGAAAACTCAGGACGATTTTTGTATTACAGTATGAAAATTAGAAAATGCTGAAAATATTTGACTTGAGTTTGTATACCTAACAGTGGTTTAAAAAGTGTGATTAAAAATCAAGAAAGTCAAAGTCAACTATTGCCCCTATATTCAGACTCATTTAAAGGCAGTCTGTCCCCTATTGTGCTCAATTTTATTTTCACGGGAGTGAAATTCATGCACTGTTGAGCTTGATCGATAATTAAACAATTTAAACCAATCAGAGACAAATTTGGTTCTGAGTTTTGAATCAAATGGCTGTGTCCTGTTGCTGTGGCTAGAAAAAGTTGGTTCCCTGTTTGGTTTGTGCGACAGATATGTCAACAGCGAAAGGAAATGCTTCCGTTAAAATCAATCAATTCCAGTAATCAAATTTTCTTGCCATTTCTTTTATCTTTTTTATCGCAATTTCAAATGTCATCTTTTACCACAACTAGGCCAGCCAAAGCGAGCAGCACAATCAGTTAAGGCCGGAAGACCAATTGTCCATATTAGCCAATCATTGAGGGGACAGACTGCCTTAAATCTCCCCCTATGTGAATATAAAACTACTTCTCTATTTTTGCATTCTTTGTTTGATGCATTATATACAAAGACTTAATTATTTAATTATTTTCACAGTGACAGCAGCCTGTATTTAACAATTCATAAAATTATTTTGAAATGGAACATTCTTATATAATCAGTATCATAACCTTTTATCACTTTTTCATGTATCAGTTTCTAGATGCAAGAATGATGTCTATGCTTGGGGTTTAATAATACCTAGTGAACACTATGGTCACTCCTTTCACAAAATTGAAATTTTCAGAAATTATACAACACACATCAATGGACAACAGATAGACAATATTGATATAATCAGATCATAACAAACAAATATTTTACCTCTATTTCTTTCTTGCCAATAAACCCTAAGAAATTGAAAGTTGCAAGATTGAGGCAGTCTTTGCCATCAATGTTCATTCTAATGCCAGCTTTTCTATAATACAAACCAGGCTCATATAGGCATACTTTAAAAAAATTATTAAATTGATAGTCAAACTGACACAATAAAAAATCAAACAGGAAGTCCATAGATGTATAATTGGATGTTTTTTAAGAGGTTTAAGATGTGTTGAAGCGCATGAACCGACAAACATTTATGTAAAAAAAACCCAGAAACTTCATAACTTCACAAAATGGCAGCAGAGTGAAGAGGACCATGTATTTTTCTTTCAAAATCTTTATAACAAACACTAAATGTTCCTTTTTGCACAAGGCTGCATTTTACACAAGGGGACCAGAGCCACAGGGGCAGCAAGGGCAGCTGCCCCCTTTGCCCTAGTGGTGCAGAAGCAGCAAAATGCCCTTTTCAAGAAATTGATTTCCAAGCAACATTAATTAATATCTATGGTTCAAATGATTATGAAATCTAGGTTTAAAATGTCTCTTGATACCTATATGTAAGAGGAAAGTCAATATTTTCCAAGTTGATGAGAACTAAAAATCAATTTGAAAAGCAATTCAAGACGTTTTTTCAAGACATTTTATTCAAGACATTTTTTGAATCAAGAACTTTTCATGCAGCACAGTATTCGTATTTGAAGCTTTTAGCCTACCAACTGGTTGGAACTTTGTCCCAGTGGGCCCTTTTTCTTGTCCTATTGGGCCATTTTGAATTCCCACTAGTTGAAATCCTTAAGAAAATATCCTGAAGACTTTGCTTTAATTTGACAAGCAGTGCTAGAATGCACACATATCTTTATGAGCCAGTACTTAAAGCTTATTTAAAAGTCGATAGATTTTGTGTGATTTGAGTTTTGATGATATCCTTATGGGAACACTAAGGCACTCTGAAATTTCAAAAGCAGGTTTTTGAAGCCGTTTTGTAGCCAAGTTGTCTCTCTTTAGAAGCAAGAATTAAAGAATGACATGATACCTTCTGCTCCCAAGATCACAGTATGTTCATAAGAATTCAAAACGTTATAGCAAGCCGTGTTTATGATCATGAGAACAACAAGGTAGGATTGAGTCCAGCCTCCCTTGATGGTTGATGTTGGTTTTGAAAGAATTTTTGAGAATGAAGTTTGACAGTAGTCTTGATTCCAAGATCCAGATTCTAGTGGACATTGCCCCCTTTTGCAAGTCTTTAGGGAGCAAACTCTGACACCCTTCCTGGGGTTTCAGTTCCTGTTGCATCATGAAGCTTCCAATGCCTCTGATTTTACATAGAGGAAAAAGTCTACTAAGGGATCTACCTCAGTGCTCCTAGATGCAAGTAATAATGATCACATTCTTAAGAATAAATACTCTAATTTATTGCCAGAAATCTTACCCATTGACAATTTTTGGCTTTACAATGTAATCATCTATCCCTGTTTTTGGAACTAATGGCTCAGGTTCCCATTCTTGGATCAATGCTTCTTCCTCCTAAAACAACAAAATGCTGATTTGAAATTGTAGAATATCTCATAGATTTGCAAATTGTCAGAAATACCTAAAAATAAATGTTTTTAATTATGTGTCATGCTATGCTTTGATTAAGGACTAGCAAGCACAAAATATGATTCAAAATGAAAAGTTAAAATTGACTAGACTGCTGAACCTTTACATATTCACTGAGTACTTACAATTTATAAATGAATATTAATTGATTTTCATTTAAAAAACTATTAAATATAAAACCCTGGTGTGACAAAACTCTTCTATTTCTATTGCCAGAGTATTTTTCACTTCTTAAAATTATTGCATATTGAAATTATAATCTTCAAACCCATTAAAATAATCATCAAGTGAATCAACCCGAGGAATAACTAATTGCAGTTCATAAGAACACTTTTATGGTAAGGAAACAAAGTTAGAACATGCGATGAGATCCTGTTTTACACACCAATGCATACTGTTATAGACAGATCATTACTTCAAACTTCATAAAAATGCATTAGTCCTGTAATACTCCTAACCTACTATAGGTTTTTTCTGTTATCTATGCATACCAGTTCAGTTCAATTCATTTCTTTTTTAAAAATCCATACATACAAATCTTTTAAAATACAGCAACATGGTTACAAAAGATGAAATAAATTACATACATTGAGGGAAATAGAGAACAAGAAAAAAATATATATGATTTTACAAAAACGAATGAGATTTGCATGCAAAAATTTCTTAAGGAGGAGCTCTCTCAATAGATAGACTAATCGAGGAGAAAGCACCCCCTGTGGTAACAATCTATTTTAATTCAGAATTTACACCACAGGCTGCCCAGGAGGGAGCCATAGGGCCAACAAGAACAACTGCCACACAGCCACTCCCTCTGAAAAGAAAATAGAAAAGACTGCCCTACAGCAATCCCCATCCATCCCACACCCCCACACAGAGCAGCCTATAGTGACATCTTCATAGTCCTGAGAAGACATTACAAAAGATTCTATTGTTGGTATCTGGTATCATAGTCCTTATTGGTATCATTGTCCTGAGAAGACCTACCCTGTTAGTTTACAAATGCAAATTTTGCATACCATCTGCAAAGTATAAAAACTCTAATAAACCTATTCTAAATATCCCTTTTTATTTCATATAAGTATCAATCTTTAGAGTTGAAAGCATTCCAGTACAAAATAAACAGGCAGAACCCTTGCCAGACACCTCTTTGCTCAGCTTCAATCTTTGTTCTCTTGGAGTGTAGCTCTTTGTTGCCAAAAGTCTGATGATCCACAGAATTAAAATTGTTTCCAAAAGGACATGATAAAATGGCACCTGAAAAAAGACACAATCAAAAATCATCAGTTATAGTCTGGGGCCACAGAAAAAAGACAAGTGGTCAATAGGATAATCCGTGATCCCTAAAATATCAACTTTTTCAAATAATCGTTTATTAAGTTGTTTTAAAGAGCTTAATAGCGTTACATAGCGATTTTTACGATTTAGAACCAAATCTTAGGCCTTGTAGGAATTCAAGAGTTCTAAAAAAGCTGAATGTATTATGTAACTTCAACGAATGAGAAGGGCTCTTCTGGCCCCTACTAGGGGTAACACCCCTTTTGAAAAACTTCCGTTAAACGAGACGTGTTTTCGTTGCTTTATCACTTCGTTGCCAAATTTTCAAACATTTTTTCTTTTTCTATGAAAATACGAAACACTAGTAAAAGGACTATGTCTGTGATATGGTGGTGAATTCTAAACCAGCCCTTTTCCTTTGGGCCTACAATTGTCGTGGGGCTTGTTTGCTTGTCTGACATCGCTATTTACATGTATAACACGTACCTTTAAAGTGTTTTCAACGAATCCAACAAATCGTGACAAATATAACGTGAAAGACAGAATGTATTTCGCTTCATTGCTTGCAAAGCTCTCGCTTGCAGCTTCGTCCATTTTCAGTGATCAGTGCAACATCGCCAAAGCCCTCCACAGTTCCAAGAACGAATGGAATCGAGACAGCAAATCGAGCCGTAAAACTTTCATGAATTTCAAATTTGATATGCGGGTTTGAATTTTTAATAACAGGATATCATAGCAAATTTGTCAAAGTAGAATAAATTGTAACAAAGAAGCATTTAACTAAAGAATATATTGAAAACAGGGCCTCCGACGAAGGGGGCCGGGGGGCCATGGTCCCCTCCCCACTTTTTTGCAAAACAATAGAGCTTTATTCCAAAAATCTTTTATTGTGGGTCCAACATGTCAAGTTACGCAAGAAAATTAAGTTTCGGGTTTATAACTTGCATAGTATAAAAGATATGGAGGAAGACCCGAAGGAGGACTGGGTACAAGTACCCCAGTTTTAAAATAACTTTTGGGGCGTTTTCGAAGTGGGGTCTGCATCTCATCTTACTCAGCATGTCAAACTGTGTACTTGTACCAATTTTCATGCTTGTATCATAAAATGCACAATTCGTCCTCACTACTTAGCCCAAAAAGCCAGTAACGCGCCGAAGGCGCTAACTCGGGTCATGCTCACTGATCTAAAAAAAATTTTGATCAGTGGACATGCTGCGTACTGCCGAGCGAGGCAAATTTGTTAACTTCCGCCATTTTAAATAGTGGCAAAAAGGGAGCTGCAATAGGGTTCAGTATGGAAAATTGCTTGTTTTAATGAATGATTTTCTAGTGGCTCACAACTACCAGTGCCTTTTCTGATGCAGGTAGTTAGAGGAGATATAAATCAACAACACATAACAATTTTTGGGGGTTTTTAAAGAGAATTTTAAAAATTATGGCTCTTTTAGTTTACGCAGTTACGGGGGGGGGGGGGATGGCAGTGGCTTGTCGTGTTTTTATGAGTCGAAAAAGTACGTGTTTGCAATTTTTATCTGTTTATAGATTAGAAAAAACTTTTTAAGTCTATTACCTAATGATATAGACTATTTAGATATATAATTCTTGAATTTTCTGTCTGTCGATTAGAACCTAATAGGCAGGGCATTCCTCTGAACCATCGACCGCATTGCCTAACCTTTGTTTTCTCGGCTGATTATGGAACAATACGGTATAACGAATTATTTAAGCCCTTACAACATTTTCAAAAATTCATCAAAGTCACGTTACCGATGACGTCAAAAAGGTTATGTTTCCTAGACTCAAAACCATTGTAACTTCTTAAGTATACGTCTGACTTCAATATAAATGCTATATTCGGGCTCGCCTGAAAAAAAGCTTGCCAATGATATACACACATCAGTATTTTAACGATGTCAGCAATTTTCAATGATTACGTCATCACTTTCAAAATGGCCGTCGAACAGTACATTTTAAAGGGCCACTCCAGCCCAAAACTTTTTTTGCATAAATTGGTAGTTAGTCGAGAAAAAGAAGCTATCGTGAAATTTTTTTTCGAAAAGCTTAACTCGTTTTCCAGATATAGACGCTCAAAGTTGAGAATCACCGTAAAAATACGACAAAAATTTTTTCGGAAAAAGCACTTTGTGACGTGTGAAAGGGCTATTGTTTCAACATTCGGCGCTATTGTTATACGTTCGCACTGAAATTCGCACGACTCGGTAGAGGCTCGGAAGAGGCGATTCATGTCGGAATCTCGGTTGTCGTTTTATTTATTTTCCTTCATTGCGATTGATGTTCAGCGGAGGCTTTCAGCCAACATGGACTAGTAATTCGACAAATCAAAGATGGAAGCTTCAACCTGAACCATCTTGGCAACGCAGCAAGCTTTTCAATATGGAATGCTTCACGAATTTTCAGATGTGAATGGATTTCTGACCGAAGGCATTTCTTATCGTCGTGTCATCTCAGGGATTTCCAGGGAGCTGAATAATAGAATTGATGTCTCACCGCAGTAGAAGAAGAACCCCATTCACAAGATGAAAACTTTCCTGTAAGTCAAAATTCATCCTTTTTATCATTTTACTATGTTGAATGTTAGGCGAAACTGCAGGGTGTAGAGGTTTGGAGGGGCTCTAAATACAGGTTTTCTAACAGCCAGTCTTGTGAACTGTCCCCCAAATGGTCAGAAATGTGGTAATATGAAAAGTACAACAGGGGCTCTCAAGCAAAATGTCACATAAAATATTACCAAAAGTAGAAGTTTGCTACTTTTTTGTACCAACAAGGGGGCCTGAGCCTCCTAGCACTACATCCCTGCCAATGATCTGTGCACTACACCTTTTTGAGGTATAGATGTGTAAAATTTCCCAGGGTTTGTCTCCTGAACCCTTCTTCTTCATGTTCTACCTTGTTCTGCCTTCAATTTTGGAATTCTGCCTATTTCATCATAAAATTGATGCACAATTTCAAAATTTTGCCAGATCAATATCCAGGGCAAAAGATCTACTACCCAAAAGAAAAAACATGGAATTTACACCCTTGGTCTTGGAAAAAAGATGTGTAATATCCTCATTCTAATGTTTTAAAGGCAGAATTGTTTATATTTGTTAAATTTACCTTTGCTATTCTAGCATTGATTCATATAAGCATGGCCTATATCATTTAAATTCATCTTTGTGTTACTTCAAGTTAATATCCTTAGATGCTATTTGCTATAGTAACAGTGGTTGCCCTTTCACCCCTAAATTTCTCTTTGGTCCTTCTAAATATCTATACTCTGAATGCCCCTGAGTGTCCAAGTTTCTTTGATGATTTTATGTTTTAATATGACTCAAAAGTAAATTTCACTGGTATGTTAGTATTTATCCCTGTCAACCTTATTATTCTAGGCATAAAAAAGGTTACAAACTCTTTTATGGACCAGCAGAAAGGATCTTGCAAAAAATGCTAGATGAAGGTTGGAGATTACATGCATCCTGTTATCTGGCTACTGGCTTTGTGGGAGTGATAACTTGCCCCTCTCTTCCATTCAAGAGTTACCACAAAGACCTCAACACATTATTCTGTTTTTGTATTAACATTTTCACAAAGGAGACTATTTTTCTAAAATTATCAAAATTTTATATATAATTTGGTCATATATAATGTTTGCAAATTTTTTAAAGCTAGTAACAACATATAGGTATTTTCTAGAAGTTTTGCAATAGATTATTGTTTCGTGATACTTTTATAAGAACATTTCTCATGTGCAATAGAAATTACAAATTGCTAGCTAGTTCACTGGATGTGATTGTATAATTCAATGTAGCCAAGTATTTAAATACATCAAACATGTATTTATTATTCATAAATATAGCAGGTTGAGATTCTGACAGCTTAAAGGAGCTGACAAGGCCCCTGTAATAGCTTAAAGGTTAAATACAAAAATTATATTTACAAAAGTATATTGAAAAAGTTGAATTTATTAATATAATCTCAAATCCCTTTTTTGTTTGTATAAAAACAAATTTATAATTTTTGAAAAAGTTGTTTGACTCATGACTAATGGTAGGTTTTTAGTCATGTCTTGAAAGTTGTATACTTTCTTGTCCATGTCCTCATTTGTCCTGTTTTATTTCCAATAAGTCATGTTGATATGAAGCACTTTATCCTAATGAATATGTTGTATCAATTCATACAGCTTTCATTCCCGGTATACCGGTTTTGTTTTCTTCTTTCCTCCCGAATTAATTGCGCGATGGTTTTTTAGCTGTTGCACTAAAGGAGGGGCTGATGAAAAAGCGCGAATCTTCTTTTTAAAATCAGGGAACTGGCCTGCCAATACAAATTGCTTCAAAAGCAACATTCCATGAAAGTCTGTCAACATCTTCATGTCTCTGTCTCGCTGGCCTACTTTGCCAATTTGACTTCTCTGTCAGAAAGATTCGTGCGACAAAAAACTTCCATATTCGATCAGAGTATCAAGACTGATGAGCGATACTTCTCTCTTTATATCGATTCCAGATAAAAGTCTGGCCTTCTAACAAGCATGCCGCTGCTAGGCCCTGTCTGCCATTTCGCTAGGTTCTCGTTGACCCTTTGGACAGCCGATGATACTTGCCGCAAACTTACCGAGGCCGAAAATGCCTGTGACGTCAATTCGAAGATCTCCGATAACACGGTTGAAAAACAATTCAACTCAATGACCATTTTACAAACGCTAATAACTACAAAACGGTTAGAGATATGAAAAAAATAATAACAGATTCGTTTTCAGGAGGTCTGATTACATCGTGTTCTGAAATAAAATTTTTTGGCTGGAGTGGCCCTTTAAGA